CACGCACCGAAAGATGGATTTTTAGAAGAAAAAAAAATCGGCTGCAGAACAACAACACCCAGTGAAAGGAAGGGTGGAGACTGGATTTTGTGTGTGTGTGTCTGTGTCTGTGTCTGTGTGTGTAAAATCAGCACGGGGAGGTTTGATTTGAGGCCTCGTTTGTTTGAGAAACCAAACCTACCACCCAGGGACCCATTTCCTCCACGTGTTGTTAAATGTGACCACAGCCGTGGCGTTCTCTTGCCAATGTGCACCCTAATGCACACACAAAAAACAAACAAACCCGCATTTCCTTGCACGCTCCTTGCACCTTTTGCAAAAACCAAAACTACAGGGAACGACCACAACAGAATTCCTGTTGTGTTGAGCGAGACGTTGTGTTCAGTGAGTTTTGCCCGCATCTTATGACTTCCCTTGCCACGGTTCTTAAGTGAATCACCACGGTGGATACCTTAGTAATCCGGTTTGTTAACCTGGCTTTTCCCTGTTGATTGAGGTCGCAAAAAAGGATCGTGTGATTCTTTCCCCTCCTCCCCGCCCCCTGGGACGCCGCAACCCGTCATAAATATGAACCAGTTGCCAAGCAGCCTAATTTTGATCATGAGGGTGCTGCAAAGGTCGTAACCGTGGGGAAAAAACGGCCATAAGTTACATTTTTCAGTGCTGTTGCAACTTTGGGCAGTCATTAAACGAGCTGTACCAGGAACAGTCATTAAACTGAAAACAACAGTCAATTAAAAGGAGTGTGATGACCCAAAGGGGTGTGGCACCAAGGCAACCCAGCCAGATAATCAGTTGGAGTCCCTTTATTAGCTCCAACTTTGCCCCCCAATGTCCTGGTTACCTTCTGGGCTGGAGAAAAACCCTCCCAGGAACAGCCTTTGGATGCAGAGAATCAAGTCCAAAACACGGTCAACAGAAACTGTAACTATAAGTCCAATCAAGGCAAAATGAAGTCATTAGTCTGGCAGGGCAAGAGAAGGAATTTCAGACGTGAAGGAACGGCAGTAATTCAACCCGGTTGGGAAGACGCCAGGAATGCAGATAACCAAAGTCAACACAAGATAAACTCATGTTCCCAGTAAATGCAGCTCTCAGCTTGCATCTCTTTTAAACTCTCATTCCCAGGTGTAGCTAATGAAGGGAATCAGGGCCCTTTCCTCCCCGTAAGCCATGCAACCCACGTTGCTCCCTTCTCCGTTCCTCCCTGCGTGCCTTAGGATGAAGAGGGGCTGGGCCTGGGTCTTCCTCTGAATTCCCTCTCCCCTTGTTCTACCTCTCCCCTGCTCTGCCCAGCCAGACTTTTCCCTTCCCCGGTTTCCTCCACAGCCAACTGAGCCACACTCCCACTCCCTGTCCGCTGTTTGTCTTACTCCTCGGATTCCGACTCTGACAGGGGCATAACAAGGAGGACTGCATGTACTTTTAAGTATTGTATTGTCCTCGATCCGTTGCAACATTGTTTGAGGAGCAGAAACCCTGGTTTTTTGAATAACCGTTGGACCTGGAAATTGTGCCATTTCAAAAGTTGCACATATTCACGGGGTTCATGAATATTTAAAGATATGCCAGTTCCTGCATTTGGATAAAACGCAATTATGCGTGGTCACGCTTCACCGAGAATCTCTCGCTTTGAAGACCAGCTTATCAGGAAATTATTGAGTCTGACTCTAAAATATTCAGGAAGTTGCCTTGTTTTATTCAGATAATTGTAATTTCTCTCTGTCCCTTTGCAACTGTTCTTTGGATGTAGGTTTGTTCTAATGCCAAGCGTTGCCTCATGTTGTTGGTATGCATGTGTGCAGAATCCAATTGCTGCAGCACATTACTTTTTTGTATCCAATATTTTTATTACATGATGCAAAGCCTACACCTTAAAAGAACAACATAAGCTAACTGTGATGACCCGGGGTGTGACACAAAAATAACAAAATCACAAAAGTATAATAAATTCCCTTTAATGCCTCCAACTTGGCCCCCAATGTCCAATTATCCTCGGCTGGAGATCAAGCTCTTCCAAAAACAGTCTACGAAGGAAAGAAATGCAGCCTGAACCCAAAGTAAAGATAATTAGAAATTTTTAAAAACCAACACAAACCACACTGAAGTCATTAACACGGCAGGCCAGGATGATAAATTGCAGACTTCCACAAGATAACGCAGCACCCACAGTTGGGAGGACGCCAAAACCCAGAAAAGGCTCGACCAAGATAATGCACGCTTTGCTTCCAGCAAGGAGCTGTGTGCAAACGCCCCACTTATATCCTGTTCTCCCAGCTGCAGATAATGAAGGGAATCAGGGCCTTTTCCTCTCCCATAAGCCACGTTGCTCCCCGTTCCTCCCTGCGTGCCCCAGGATGAAGAGGGGGGGTGGCCCTGGGTCTTCCTCTGAATGCCTAGCTGGAGTGTGCCCTTCCCCCCATTTCCTCCACAGCCGCCAGAGTCCCGCTCCCTGTCAGCTGCTCAATCTCCCCCTCAGAATCAGACTCCAACAAGGGCACGACACTCACAGAGAAAAGGTAAAGAGTAAAAAGAGAATAGGGATAGAAGTGCAAAAGGGTATAAAGAAAGGAAAACACACACACACACATATGTATGTATATAGGTAGGTAGTCCTTGACTTATAATAGTTTATTTAGTGACTGTTCAAAGTTGCAACGGTGCTGAAAAAAATAGTGTCTTACAACCGTTTCTCCCACTTAACGACCGTTGCGGCATCCCCTTGGTCACATGATCAAAATTCCCATGCTGGGCACCTGACTCGTATCTATGACGGTTGCAACCTCCCGGGGTCATGCGACTACTGTTTCTGACCTTCGGACAAGCAGAGTCAGAAAGGGGGAAACCAGATGCACTACTGCGGTGATTCATTTTACAGCTGTGGCAAGAAAAGTTGCAAAATGGGTCAAAACTCACTTAACAAATGCCTGATTTAGCAACAGAGATTTGGGGTTCAATTGTGGTCGTAAGACGAGGACAAACTGTGTGTGTGTGTGTGTGTGTGTGTGTGTGTGTGTGTGT